TATATATATATATATATATATATATATATAAAACATATATACATATGTATGTATATATGTATGTATGTATATATATATATTTATTTCATAGATGAGGAAACTGAGGCCTAGAAAATACAAACTACATATGCAAGGTCATATAGATACATGACTCCAAATTGATTTAATTCCCAAACCCACATTTTTCTACTAAATCAACTTGCACTGTAAAATCACAAAAAAACAGTGCAATCATTCTTTGCAACAATCACCTACTCATTTTAACAATGAAATATTTTAAGAATCTCTTTTTCTGACCTTTTCTGGAAGAGTCAATTTGCTAAAATTTGCAGAGACCTCAGAGTCATGTAAAGAGTGTAGTATAACTTCAAAATTTAAATATTAAAAACTTTGACTTGCCCCTCTCAATCTCATATTCAAATAAATTTTATCTGTCCTTTCTATATCAGGCAAACTCAAATGAAAAGGAAACAGGAATAATGATAATGGAAGAGAGTGTTTAATTCAATATAAAAAGCATTAAGCAATAGTACTTTTATACTGGGAAAAATTTTTGCCTAGTAAAGATTTTACACTGTGGAGAAATAACGGGGCAGAGGCCTTATTTAGGTGTGCCTGGCACTGATTCTGCTTTCCCACTTTTAGAAGAAACTCAATAGAATACATTCTCTAACCATGGTACAGTAGAATTACAAATATAAATGAAAGTCTGAAGTGGAAAAACTTGTCACTTGGAAATTAAAAGTAGCACCTTAGTAGAAACAATGAAAAAATGTCATTGCTGGTGAGTTAGCAAAATGAGGGTATTAAAGATGAAATATGCCAGATATCTGCCAAAGTTATAAAGAGATTCAATTCATGGCCCTAAATATTTCCAATAAAATTTTTAAAAAGAATGAACAGAGTAAGCATCCAACTAAAGAAGATCAATAACAAATAAGCAATAAAGAGGAAGAAATATTAAAAGAAGAAACTAATGAATAAGAAAACAAACATCTGAAAAAGCCAGTAGCTAATTCTCTAAGCAATAAAATATATGTCACTGGTTGGTCAAAGGAAGTCAAAAAACAAAGTCAATAAACCAAAAATAGAAACGGGAAAGTAGTTATAGCAAGCACTTTAAATTGTTTACCAGTAAAAATAAAATTTTCCAAATTTCTTTTCAAAAATTTCTTAAAACAGAAAGGGCAAGTGTGGGGAGCCATTCTCACACGTGACTGGGCAACTCCCGGTTTGGGTCTGAGGCGCTCTGGCTAAACTGTGTCGGAGCTTTCCCGACCCCCTCCTGGTGCGAGAGCCTGTCCGTGTGGGGGTGTGACTGACCACTGACCCGGGGGGCCAATCACTGACCCTGACCTTGGAGTGCGGCCCCCCTCAACCTTCACTGGATGGAATTCTCCCCTGAATTTCTTGTTCCCCAATAAAAGGCTACTCCCTGGTGTGCTCCCTCTCTCTCTCTCCTGCTAGCCCTGAGTAATCCTTGCTGCCCTACAGGGTGGTTCGAGGTAAGAGCCAGAGGGGGAGCTGTCTCGGACCTGGTCATAGAAAAAGGTAACTGAGTCTGTGTGTTTATTTTGATCTCACTAGTTAACTTTTATGCCAAGAACCTCTTTAATGAAACCAGTGCGCTGGTCGCATGGTGGAATTTGGAGCCCACGAGGGGGGCATTCTAGATTAGCTAGATTGAGTGGGAGCGCGCTATAAAGATAAAGATAAAGGAAGTGGTGACAATTTAGAGTCACAAAAGTACCTGGAGATATTGAAGGAAAGAGACGTTAAATTAATTAAAATGGGAAATTCAACTTCTACGGATAAGGAAATGTATCTATTTTAGACAGTATAATTAATCAGAAAGGAAAACAGATAAAGAAAACTCAGTTATTACAATTCTTAAAGATTGTAGGCGAATATTGTCCTTGGTTTTGTGAACAAGAGTCTCCAAATTTACTTACTTGGGAGAAACTAGGAAGGAAGTTACAAAAAGTTTGTCTTTCTAATGAATTACCTGGAGGCATAGAAAATATTCAGAAAACTTGGACGGCTCTGGAAGTTTGTCTTTTTGAATATATGGGCCAGAGTTCGTGGCCCCCTGTAGATCTATTAAAAGGCATTCAAAGAGCTATTAGGTCTATTCAAATGGAAAATCCGCCTGAGGCTAAGTTAATTCCCTTTCCCTTGAGCCATTTAAAAACAAAGGCTCTAGGGGCTAAACCAAAGGTTAAGAATGTGACTTTAAACTTGCAGGATCAGGCTAGCCCGCAGGGAGATTATAGAGAGGAAGGTCATAGAGGAGAAACCTCCACAGTCCTAGAAAGTCCTCCGGAAGAGGTAGAGGATCTTCTTGGGGAGGAAAATCCAGAAGAGATTCTTAGAGGGGCACAGAGTTCTTCTCCGCCACGTGGCTTAGAAGCCCAATTTCAAAATGGCGACAGCGCAGAGTCTACCCACGACTCGCAGTCGGAGGGAGAAGAATCAGACGTTGAAATTCAGGACTTACAGAGAAATTTTAACAGGCTGCGTTTAACACCGCCTGCCCAGGCTATTCGAATTCGGCCATTACCTGCTAAAAGGACAAAATTTAACAGGTACTCTGAATTAACAATGACTTGTCTTACCCCGTTCCAGCAAGATATTAAGAAAGCACAGGAAGCTGGGGAAGATACTAGCGGTTTTCAACTTTTTCCAGTTTTTGAGCAAGTTAATGAGCAAGATCAGAGAGTTAGAGTTCATGCTGTAATCCCATTTAAAACCATTAAGGAACTAAAAAGTGCATGTGAGACATATGGTCCGAATTCGCCTTTTGTACAGAGCCTGATAGAAAATATTTGCTCACAGCCCCTTCCTCCTAGTGATTGGATTTCTTTAGCTAGATCTTGGTTGAGTGGAGGAGATTTCTTACTTTGGCATAGTTATTGGACTGATTTTTGTACTGAACAGGCAGAAAGGAATAGAAGACAGAATTTAGAGACGCCGGTAGAAATGTTTTTAGGAACAGGTGAATTTGCTGATTTAGAAAGACAGTTAAATTATGAATTTGTAGTATACAATCAAATAACTGATTGTGCGAAATGTGCCTGGAAGCAGATTATCTCTAAAGACCAATCCAATTTAGTTCTTACCAAAATCAGGCAGGGTGCAAGTGAACCGTACTCAGATTTCGTAGCCCGATTGTACCAGGCCGCAAACAGGTCGATCGGGGACCCGGGGGCCTGTGAGTTTATTGTTAAGCAATTTGCATTTGAAAATGCGAATAAGTATTGTCAGGACGTTCTTGGGCCACACCGTAAAAAAGGGACAATTTCTGAGTTTATCCGCTTATGTTCTGAGATAGACTCTACTCATTTACAGACTGTAGCCCTAGCTGCGGCACTAAAGGAAACATTAAGGCCACAAGAATTAGAACGAAAGCCCCGCGGGAGATGCTACGTTTGCGGGAAAAGTAACCATTTTGCGCACGAATGTTGCATGCACAATTTTAAGTTCAGGGCTCCATCTACTGGTGATAATAGATATTGCAGGACTCAACCCCACGTGGCAGATCAAGATGGCGTGCTGCCTTCTTGCCGTCATTTCCTCCTATCGGGAAGACAAAAAACTTCCGGTCGGCCCCTCCCCGGCTGAGCAACAATACGGGGGATTCGAGGAGAGGTCACACAGTGTGACATCACTGGCGCCGACCAGGACAGCCTGCGATTTTTACCGGAATGTAGATCGCAGACAGTTTTCTTAGAACCTTCAAGGACAGTTGAATTGAATCCTGAATCAGGGCCAAAACAAATCCCTACTGGGATTTTCGGGCCGCTTCCTGATAATACTATAGGTTTAATTTGGGGACGTAATAATTTAAAGGGAGTTATTGAGGTGATACCTGGTGTGATAGATTCAAATTTTAAAGGACAATTAAATGTTACTGTAAGGTCCAATTATGCCCTAAGGCTCACTCCAAAGGATACATTTGCCCAATTGATTTTATTGCCCTGTAATTCAGAAAAACACCCACCAGTAAATTCAGTTTCTAAACCGCCGGACAGAGTGTACTGGTCTCAGTTAGTGCGACAAGAATGCCCTTTATTAGAATTTAAAATTAATAATAAAAAGTTCCTAGGAATCGTAGACACAGGAGCTGATATCTCTGTCCTTTCTAGTAGATTCTGGCCTAGGAATTGGCCCTTACATGTAGCACCAGCTAACCTAGAGGGAATAGGACAGATTTCACAGCCCGCTCAAAGTGCCAACTATCTCCGTTGGGAAGATTCCAATGGGAACAGTGGAGTATTTAAGCCTTATGTGTTAGAGTCTTTACCAGCTAACCTATGGGGAAGGGATATTTTAGCCAAAATGGGATTGTTATTAGTTACTCCAAATTCTATAAGGTCAGTTGAGGAAGTTAATCAGAGGTATTTTCCTGGAGATAATAAGGAGACCCTTCAGGAAGAGTATCTATTTTCCTGGAGATGATAAAGAGACCCTTCAGGAAGAGTATCTATTTACAAACCAGTCTCCACGACAAAGATTAGTAAATGCTCCAAGCCAAAATTTTTACTAGGGGCCCTGAGTACTTCCCCGATCCCTAAGACAGCTGAAAAAATCACCTGGCTCACAGAGGAGCCTATATGGATTTCTCAGTGGCCCATCTCAGGGGAAAAACTTAAAATAATTCATAGGTTAGTTGAGGAACAACTTCAGGCTGGTCACATAGAACCAACACTTAGTCCTTGGAACACACCTATTTTTGTTATTAAGAAAAAAGTCAGGAAATTGGAGATTGCTACAGGATTTAAGGGCAATAAATCATGCAATTCGGCCTATGGGATCATTACAGCCAGGACTTCCCTCCCCCAAGCCATCCCTTTAGACTATAGCTTGATGGTAATAGATTTAAAAGACTGTTTTTTCTCTATAAGGTTACATCCTGGAGATTGTGAAAGATTTGCTTTCACTGTCCCAGCAATTAATTTTAAGGAACCTGTTAAAAGATATTGCTGGAAAGTACTTCCCCAGGGAATGCGTAATAGTCCTACCCTGTGCCAAAAATATGTTGACCAGGCGATAGATCCCATAAGAAATAGCTTTCCTGATGCGTATATTATTCATTTTATGGATGATATATTATTGGCTCATGCTAATCCAGAGGTACTTTCAGAAATTTTTACTCAGAGACTTCACTTACAGCAATGGTTTTATGCATTGCTCCTCAAAAAATTCAAAAGGCACCTCCTTTTCAATATCTAGGTCAGATAATTCAAGGACGTACAATCCATCCTCAAAATCTTCAGATAAGAGTTAAGGAGTTACATACCCTTAATGATTTTCAAAAGCTATTAGGAGATATTAATTGGCTGAGGCCATCCTTAAAACTAACTACTTCTGAGTTAAGTCCTTTATTTCAGATATTACAAGGGGCAAGAACCTTAAGTAGCCAATACAGAAAATGCAGCAAAGATGGCTAGTTGCGTGGCAACATCCAGTCCACCTTTCAACCTGGCAAAAACTGGAACTCTTAGGTAGCAACAAGCTACCCAGCTAAAGACATTTCCCAGCCTCCCTTGAGCCAGGTGTGGATGTCAATAAATTATGGCAAAAGGGATCTGAATAAAAGATGCATTCAACTTTCAGGTCACATCTTTAAAAGGGAGCTGCTTGCCTTCCACTTCTTACTTTCCTTTATCCACTGGTGACACTAAAAGAATGAACCAGCTTCTATCACAGAAAGGACAATGCCCCCTGGACAATCTGGAGCAAAAAGGAACCTGGGTTACTAGATGATCTAAAAATCAGAGTTGCCTACTCCCACTCACTTCATCACTACTTGCCAACTATCAATTCAGATTATTGTAATGAGAAATAAGCTCTTTCTTGTTGGAACCACTATATGGACTCTGTTAAAGCTGCTGAATTAATTTCTAACATAGTGAAATCCATAAAAGAAAAGTCTAAATTTATCAGGGAAATATCAAGGAGCAGAGTTTAGTTAAACAGAAAATATTTGAACATCTTAGGAATGTACAGTAGTCTGCTTCATGATATTGGGTTTCACGAGGCACAATAAAATTTTTGATATGAAGAAAAAATTAAGAAGTTGACAGAAGAAAAACACTGCAGTGTGTAGATAAGCCCAGGGTTAAAAACAAAAAAAGTCATCTGGGGGATTCCCATAGTAAAGTCTCAAGGCTACCAACAAAATGGTATTCCCCTATACCAATATTCTCTAGATTTAAGGTTTTTGATCCCTTTGGAAAGTTAATGAATATTATCAATCTTCTCCCAGAAGACTCCCACATAGAAGAATAAAGAGGGTGATAAATCTTATGATGCTTATTAAGAAGGAAATCTTGCCTGGCATAGTGGCGCATGCCTGTAATCCCAGCAACTCGGGAGGCTGAGTCAGGAGGATCTTGAGTTCAAAGCCAGACTTCACAAAAGTGAGGCACTTAGCAACTCACTGAGACCCTGTCTCTAAATAAAATACAAAATAGAGTTGGGGATGTGGCTTAGTGGTTGAGTACCCCACCCCCAAATAAAAGGAAATTCCTTGGTTCCATCCAAGATACAAATAAGGATCTCTACTTCATGTGATAGGCACAGAAATCTACACTTTTAATAAGTACCTCAGGTTCTTACCTTAAGAAATATTATCTTGAGGCCAATTTCTGAACCTCAAATTAAAAATTCTTTACACACTTCAAAATCCAAGCAAAATGTGTTTTACCAAGAGGCAAGGCCAATATGTTTTACTCTAGAGCACAGGCAAGGTGTGGTGTTGCAGGAGTTAGCTGGGCTGAGTTTCTGCGTCAATCAAGGTGTTTCTTATTATACTACATAACACCGGTACAACTTAACTTCTGAAGAAGGGGTTACAGATCCATTTGAGAATTTGACCTTGTCTCAGAATAATGCACATGCATATATGATGTTGCATGGTATTTCAGGGTACATGAAGATTGACTGTTCCCCACAAGCCTATTCACTGATCTCCAAGTGAAGAGGCCCAGTTTTACAAGGCTGCAAAGAAAAAAGTGAGCTAAGACAAATAATCAACATGAATTATTTTTTCTCTAAACACTAAAGCAGACCTACAAAGAGTAATTGAAATTTTCAATTTCAGTAGTGGTTTTACCAAGAATAATCTGAGCCATTATTTATTTTTTAAATTGGTAAAGATTTATCAACTCCTCTGCCATATGTCACATAAATTATGCTAGTAAAGTATATTTATCCAAACTGTAAAATAGACATCTTTTGTAATCAGAATAAATGATATTTATGATTGAATATATTCAGCTTTATCTTAATCATGCAAACATATGCATAACAAAAAAAACATAACAAAACAGAGAGACCGAGACCTCTGATACGTGGGACCTCAATATTTACCTATTTTTCTATACTTTCCAAGTAGACAATATAACATATCTATATTTAAGTGGGATTTAAGTATGGAATAAAATCCCAAGGTAGCTGTCCATACCTCAGGTTTTAACCTTGATTTGGCTAACTTAGCAATGTGACATAAGCAAGTCAATGAGCACAATGAATCAGTTATTTGAACATAACCACGTTACATGTTTGTACTTTTGACATCATGCAGAAGCTATCTAGACCTATTATTTCCCCAGAGTCATCATTTCCCTCACATTTTCTTTTTCCTGGTTGTTTTGACTGCACCCAAGCGCTGCAGAATTATTAAGAGACTTTAGGAGAAACTTCCCTTGCTGTGATTCCTACGCCAGTGTAGGTATTTTTTCAAAATAATAATAATAATAATAATAATAATAATAATAATAATAATAATAATGCAGTGTCCACGTTCTTGCTGAGAACTTCAGCGTCCCCGACTAGTCCAGCATTTCCCAAAAGCATACGCCCGGAAAGAAAAGCTGCCACGGTTAACTGTCGAGCATAACACAGGTCACCAATGTGAAACCCTGCTCCATCTCGGGCAGTTCGGAAGCCGGGGCGGACGTCCTCTGACCCATCTCGCCCTGTTTCCTTAACTGCCCTTCTCGGCCATTCCGGGGTCCCGCTCCTCACAGAAGCAAAGATGCAGGCCTGGGAAGACCGTTTGGCCCGGGCAGGGGCCGGTCATCCTCGTGGAACCGCAGCGCGGGCCCTGCGCCGGGGATCCTAACCCCTTGTGGCGAGGCCCTGCCAAGTCCGCGAGGAACGTTCCCCGAGTCGGACCGGCGAAGAGACCGTTGTTCCTGCGGACAGCCCTACGATAGGGCCGGGTGGAGACCGGGCCCAACCCCGGGCAGGAGGCCCAGCCCCGAAAGTCTCTCGGCGGGGTGGGAGGGCCCAGTCTGGGGCAGGGGAGGAAGCAGCCACGCCCCGGACGCTGCCGGGACCCAAGCGCCAGGGGAGGGGCGAGGGTAGTCGGGGCCTGACGCCCCGGGCAGTGAGTACCTGGCGGCCGCACTGAGCACAACTGAGGGCTCTCGCAGAGCAGGGTGGGAACGCGTCCAGCAATGGCGCCCGCTCGACTGGGTCGGCCTCCAGGAAGGCCAGTGCGCCTGCGCAGCCGGGACGCTGGAACTACAGTGCCCAGAATCCTCAGCGCCGGAGCAGTGCCCGGTACCCTCCCGCCCCCTTTGTCTGCTTTTAGAAATTTATGAAGGATTTGTTTACTGATGCTCTGGGTGACCCAAAAAAAAAAAAAAAAAAAAAAAAACTCGATCAGGTTGAGAACACATATGTTGAGGGACCATGAGTGTAATAAGCGCTAGTACTAGGCATTACTAACACAGGCTGCTGACAGGACCCTGGCCATAGAACAAGTCATCCTATAAACTTAGTTCAAAACCTCAGGCGCCTGTAGAGTTGATAGATTTCTGTCCAAGCTTTTGCTCTTTTTCCATTCAAGTTCTTGACCAGAAAAAAAAAAAAAATCGATAATGCCCTCATTATAATTTGGGGTCTTTGAGGACATGTACAAGAGGGAATACTCAGCTGCTAAATCCAAGGTTGAGAAGAAGTTTCTTGCTACTGTTGCAAAACCAGTCGGTGGTGACAAGAATGGAGGTACCAGGGTGGTTAAGCTTCGCAAAATGCCTAGATACTACCTGACTGAAGATGTGCTGCGAAAGCTGTTTAGCCACGGCAAGAAACCTTTCAGTCAGCACGTGAGAAAGCTGCGAGCCAGCATCACTCCTGGGACCATCCTGATCATCCTCACTGGACGCCACAGAGAGTGGTTTTTCTGAAGCAGCTGAGCAGTGGCTTGCTACTTGTGACAGGACCTCTTTCCCTCAATCGAGTTCCTCTGCGTGGAACACACCAGATATTTGTTACCACTCCCTCCGCAAAGATTGATATCAGCAATGTGAAAATCCCAAAACACCTCACTGATGCTTATTTCAAGAAGAAGCAGTTGAAGAAGTCCAGACACCAGGAAGGTGAAATCTTCAACACAGAGAAAGAGAAATACGAGATCATAGAGCAGTGCAAGTTTGATCAGAAAGCTGTGGCCTCACAAATTTTACCCCAAATCAAAGCTATCCCTCAGCTCCAGGGCTCCGTTTTATCCTCACAAACTGGTATTCTAAATTTCTTACCAAGAACCTAATTAAATAACTAATACATTAAAAAAACAACAACAATCATTTGGGGTCTTTGAATCATAGTTTCCTTTTTCAGTTCATCTAAATAAAAATGATAGTAATAATAAGTCATGATTTCCCCTGCCCCATTTCCATGACTTCAATGTCCAAAACCATATTCTCCATGGATGGTCAAACAGAATCCTTAAGGACACCACAGCTGCTTCCTCAATAATGGCACTATTTCCTCTCTAACCCATTCCTCTCCTGTGTGTGTTGGATTCCATAAGACCTCTTTCTGCTGCCTTGTGTATAATGCCTAAGCATGGTCAGCCCTTCCAGAAGAGGATCTTCAGGGAAATGTGAATCTCAGTAAAACTGAACCTAGCACACACACAAAAAAACCAAAAAAAACAAAACAAAAAAAAAAAAAAAACTGGATTCTGCATGAGTTCAAAGAAAAAAGGATCCTGTGGATATCTTTATAGAAATTATCAAAGGAGAAATGCAAGTGGAAAATTGAACTTCTGGACATCACAAGTACAACATCAAAACTTAAATTAGACTGAATTTAAAGCAATTGAGATATTGCAAAAGAAAAAATTAGTGAAATTTAAGACATACTAATAAAAACCGCACAAAAAAACAGAGGAAAAAGATGGAAAAATGAACAAAGATATTCCTTGTTAAAAAAAATCTATCAGGAGACAGTGAAAAACACATTTAAAGTACTGAAAGAAAACTGTCAGCCTGGAAATGTATACCCATCAAAATATTTTTCATAAATAAAGGTGACCTTATAGTGGAATAGATGGAGTAAACACACACCCCTCCCTACTTAGTACAACTTAAAGCTCTTCATATATACAAAACAAAGATAAGTTGAACAGAAGGCAGTCCAGCTAGGGATCTTGTAAGCACAGGAAAAACATGGTGGGAGTTTCCTGGTTTTTTTGTGTTTTCATTATATCTCCTGGCCTGATCCTGAAAAAAAACTGGCAACCTGAATTGTCAATGGGTTCTGGCAAAGAAAAAAAAGAGTAAAGAAAGAAAAAAAGAAAAAGAAGGAAGGAAGAAAGAAAGACCTGCTTTCTCTAGTGAAAGGACTGAGAAAAGGGCAATATCACATGATAGAAAACCTTTAAGACAATACCCACTCTGCTGCAACCAAATACCACAGACAAAAATGGTGGTTGTTTTAGTCAGTGGTTGTTTTTGCCACTGTCTTTAAAGCACCCAACCAGCACAATTACAAAGGAGGAAAATTTTATTTGAGGGCTCACAGTTTCAGAGGTCTTATTCCAGAGAAGGCTGGCCCCACTCCTTGGGGGGTCAAGGTGAGGCACAATATCATGGTGGAAGAATTTGAAAGAGGGAAGCAGCTCACATGGCGATCAGAAACCAGAGAGAGAGAGAGAGAGAGAGAGAGAGATCTCCACTTGGCAAATATAAATATATAACCCAAATCCAAGCCCCAATTCCCACCTCCTCTAGCCATTCCTTACCACTTCAGTTACCACTCAGTTAATCCCTACCAGGAGATTAATTCACTGGATGGGTTAAGACTCTTAAAACCCAATCATTTCTGCTCTGAACCTTCTTGCATCGTTTCACACGTGAGCTTTTGGGGGATATCTCACAACCAAAACCATAACTGTGGTCCCACTACATTCTCATCAGCAAAGACTGGGTGGGGAACCCAGACTTCCAACCTCACTTAACCTTAATAAGTGCCCTCAATGCTCCTGCAAGGGTGAATACAGAAGAGGCAGTGTGGGGAGCTAGGATTTTCATTCACACTTGGTAATATTGAACCTCCCCACACACTGTCAGTTGAGGCCATCCGGGAAACAGTATAAGGTTCTCCTTCCCACCCAGCCAATGTGTTATCAGTGGTGGCCTAGTGGAGAGCCTGAAATGCAACCCCTGCCCACCACTAACAAGAATCTCTCACTCCTCAGGTATGTCTAAACAGAGGTTGGGTGTAAAATGTGGACTTCCACCCACAACAGCAATAGCCAGTTGGAGACCTTCTTACCCCTTCTCTGGTGTCAAAGGAAGAATCCTAAAATACAAGAAATAAAGAAGATCTACAATACCTTAATACACAAGATGTTGCTAAATTTGGCAAAAAGATGAATCTACAGATTCAAGAATTAACAAGATGCCCAGGAGGGAAAACACAAAGATATCCAGGCTAAGAAAGATAATAAACTCCTGAAAACTAAAGACAAAAAAAAAAAAAAAAAAAGAAAAAAGAAAATTGGAAAAAGAAAGATGTTCTGAAAGCAGTAAGATTGAAACATCACCATACAAGTAACAGAAAATAAATTCAAATGGCAGCGGGGTTTCCATGAGAAACCATGGAGGTGAGAAGTAAGTGGAATAACATTTTACAAATGCTGAAGAAAATTAAGTCAACTCAGAATCAAGTGAAAATGTTCTTCAGAAATGACAGGGAGGTCAAGACATTTTCTGATGAAAGGCAACTAACACAATTTTGTTACCAGCAGAACTACTCTAAAAGCATGGTTAATAGAAGTTCTTGAAATGGAAAATATGTGATTTTTTTTAAAAAAAGGGAAACATTGAACATCAGGAAAGAAACTAAAAAAGAGTAAAAATTTGGTTTTATACAAAAATTATATAGATGGCATACCTGGCAGAAAACATACCTGAGTTTTAAATTCTTCCCAGTTTCACTGAAATACTGCTTGTCCTGATTTTCACTGAATTGAATTGAGTTTAAGAATGAGGGATTTTTGAAAATTAAGATAATTTTTTTCCTAAAAATCGAGATTCTTTTTAATCTAACAATTTATATTGTGTAATTTTCACAGCAAAGAACTTTCCAGTTGCCTCAAAAAAAAAAGTTGAGGTGCAATTAAGAATGTTTCAGTCAAAGAAACTTGAGAAAATTCATTGCTAGCTGTGGCAGGTAGAATAATGTCCTTTCAGGATGTCCACATTCTGATCCCCAGAACCCATAATTATGGTACCTTATATGACACAGGTACTTTTCAGAGATATGATTTTGAATTGGAGAGATCATACTAGTTGTTCCAGGTGGGCTCAATATAGTCACCATGGCCTTTTAAGATGAAAAAAATTTTCCTGGCTGTGAGAGATGTGACAACAGAAGGAAGGAAGAGAGAGATGCAGAATTTCTAGCTTTGGACAAGGAGTAAGGGGCCATAAGCTAAGGTTCCCTTGAGCCCTCAGAAAACACGTTCCTTTGAACATTTTGATTTTAGCCCAGTGAGACCTGTTTTCAAGTTGTGGCCGGCAAAACTATTTAATAATTTTGTCTTGTCTTGGTTAAGAACACTAAATTTGTGAATTACAGTGGATTTCTTATCAGAAGATATGGAGGCCAGAAAGAAGTGGGGCAACATTTATTTATTTATTTATTTATTAGTTGCTCATGACAATACAATGATCTTGGCACATTTATTTTTATGTGGTGCTAAGGATTGAACCCAGTGCCTTACATATGCTAGGAAAGCACTCTACCACTGAGCTATAACCACAGCCCCAATAATTGTTTTTATTTTTTTAATATTTATTTTTTAGTTATAGGTGGACACAATATCTTTATTTTATTTTTATGTGGTGCTGAGGATCCAACCCAATGCCTCACACATACTAGGAGGGCACTCTACCTCTGAGCCACAATCCCAGCCCCCCAATAATTATTAATACTATTAATATCTAGTTAACTCTTCTTGATGGTCTCAGAACTATCATTTTGCAGCTGGTTATTCAAATTAGGATCCTAACAAAGTTCACACTTTAGGTTTGTTTGTTTATAATGTCTCTTAACCCTCACTTATTCTGTAACTATCCCCTTATCCTTTCTTCCTCATTTGCATTATTTGGGTGGCGAGACAGTGTCATTTGTACAATAGAATGCTCTCATCGATTTGGTTGATATTGCTTTCTCCT